CTTCTCTCTTTCTCATCTCCCTGACTCTTTATCCCCCCCCTTTCGTAATAACGTGGGACATGTCCCATTGTGTGTAGTATAGCGGTTAGGCACTTCGCCATCGCAAGCACAAAACTATTCTCTTGGGGGAAGGTGGTTTTTCCCCCGAAAATCCCCGTCTGTATGCTGGGATATTGTATGCCTCTCAGTCTGGGTTGACCCCGCAGGCAGGGCCGAAGCAACCAGCCTCCTGAATGATCTATATTGTGTCGATGAAGTCATAAAACACCAACCGTTAAGATTACGATTAATGATATGAGATTTGGACTAACATAAAAACACAAGTGCCATATGTAGACAGGTATATTCAACGGGGAGAGGTCAGGATAATGTAGGTATTTTTAGAGCATCCGAGGAAGCGAATGGATAGAGCACAATGGTCGCCGATGTATGATTATAATCAACAGTCATATTATTTCCCTTTACAGGAGCTCGCTGTGCCTTACGACAAAAAACGACTGCAGGAGTCAGTGAACAAATTTGCAGCCACAGCAACTGGGAAGATATACTTTGGGTACGGTTACTTTCAATTCCTCTTTCATTCCTTCCTATTGACTCCCTGCAAACAACTGCAAAGTATTTCCTTGGCTGAATTCATAGCATGCAGATGGGTGAGGGGAAAAGATCAAGATATATCTAATAATACAGGCTTTTTGAGAGCATCCGATGCAAGGAATATGGCGAACTATGATCGCATATGTTTGCAACAGATCTGTCACTTGAAGATGATGATTGTGCAGAATGTGTTTGTTAATGTGTTTGCGTGTGTGTTAGTGTGTTAGTGATTTAGTTTGTGTGTGTGTGTGTGTGTGTGTGTGTGTGTGTGTGTGTGTGTGTGCGTGTGTGCGTAGGTGCGTATGTATGTGTGTATATGTGAGTGCATTGCAGGTATGACATAATGTATGACTTATGCAGTTCCGAGCGCCGTAAAACCCCATACTATACTGACATAATGTGCATATTATAATAATGTGCACATGCGTGTAGGTGTGTGCATGAGTGCAGGCGTTCATCATTGTGTACTGTGTAGATATGTATGCGTCCATGCCCGCTTCGTATATTATTATTCTCTCGGAAGCGCCACCGTAATTATCTTTCTTTACTTTTCCATTTCAGGAGCTTCGTTTCTGACAGCTACGAAAAGAAAAAGGTTCCAGAACCAGCAACGTAACGGTCGCCAGTGACCGATTTTTGGGGTTTGGGGTCATGATCAGTTTGTTTGCTGGGATTATGCCAGTTTGAGGAGAAAGGGACACACAGGTCAGCTTGAGACATACAAATCAGGCAGGTGTTTGTAGATGTAGAGAAAAACCACCAAATCATTGATCGAATTTGAATTAAGTTTTATTTTGCAAAGTGCTAAAAAAGGTACGGCTATTCAGTATTACCCTGCGATGTTTTGTAATGCAAACGTCCTCATGTTTTACAAATTAAAATTATCATCATTGTCTTGTATTGTCAATTAAAATATTATCACTTCAAGAACCATTCCTTGACTCTTTTGTGTTTTTGGGTTGTATCTTATGCTGTTTCGTGTAAACATGTGTCTGTCTGCATCGGTGTTTATCTGTGAGTCTTTATGATGTAGAGAGAGTAGGGGAGGGTATGGGAAGGGGAGGGAGAAGGAGAGAGAAAGATAGAGACAGAGACAGACATACTGTAAGACGGAATGAGAACAAAAGTGTCGTTTTGTGTATATTTTGGGTATATTATGTTTATATATGTATGTGTGTGTGTGTGTGTGTGTGTGTGTGTGTGTGTGTGTGTGTGTGTGTGTA